TGAAAGTAACTGTTACACTGGAGCCTGAAGAAAAGCACAAGCAGACAGAATGTTCATCCAGACATCAAGTCTTATACCACTGATTGTTTGGGCAAAGATATGATACTTTTAAAAACAAACAGAACAGAACTATAAAAAATAACCTCCAAGCCCCCAGCTTTACAGTATTTCAGAAGAACAGTATCAATTATTTTAGATCCTGGCTAACACAGCTCATTGCAGGTTTTAAAAAAAACACAGTAAAAAGTCAAATGCTGTTTACACATGGGACTGCATTTCAACTGAAGGCACATTTTTATTTTCTATATAAATATAAATAAAGATATTTGAGTCTAAATACTTATTTTAAAATAAAGGCAGATGCTATCCTTAAATGTGTTCTTTTTAACTCCAAATATAAGAAGGGATCAAGGTACAGGATTCCCTCAAAGACAAATATGCCTCTTAAGATAGGTCAATACTTTAAAAAGATCATATAAAATACAAATAACTTCATATTTCAGGCAAACAATTGCAGGAGCTGCACTGGAGTGATACGGAGCCACAAAAGCCCAAGAAACGGGGTACTGCTCTCACACCATCTCCTTCCCTGCTTCTTGCAGGAGATGGTACCACTCAGGATATAACTGTCTGAGAAAGCACTTGTAGGCTGCTTTTCCAAGTATTATTGATTAAACTCCATCTGGGAGACTATTTCCATTACTCCATAGTCATCGGAGTGCTATTACCCTGAGTTGTGCCACTAGCAGCCACTAAGCATCCCAGCTTTTATCCAGTGGCTAATGGCCTGCCCCTTCCCTGAAGGAAGTCAGCTCCAGAGCCTGCCTTCTCCAGAGGGATTATAGAGCACAGCACCACATTGTGCTTCAGATGCCTTGTAACGTGCTCTGAGCACAACAGAATTATCTACATTGGAAATTCAGGTTACCCAGAACTTCATCTCAATGCAATTCTCCTAGATTTTAGTTCTTTTCTCTCCACCTGACTATTTGGCCCAACATAGCTCCATAAGAGGCATAAAAATTCTTCCTCACTTGTGGGATAAATAAGACATAAAATATCACAAGGCAAATCTGAAAATCTTGAGCCCCACAGTTAGTTCAGAGCAATCCATGAACTGCCATAAACTTCTCTATGGGATAGAAATTGCTTTTGATGAAATAATTTCTCATATAACTTTGAGAGTTGTCATATATATAAAGTAAGAATAAAATGCACTGCCTGCAAAATGAAAAACACGTTTGCTGAGTTTTTTTCTAATTTCTTGATCACATTAAAAAAAATAATTACACACTACATGTCACTAAGGCAACAATTTTGAAGCAAAAATATTTATTGTAATCTGCCATGCATATTTTCAGCATTTTTGTTGCTAGTGCTTGAATATTTCCACTATGATCAACATGGGCTAAGACAGAAACACCTTTTGAGCCATGCTGGCAATCTCTAACTCTTTATGACTGAGACTCTACTGGTTCTAAAAGTCACAATTAACCATTTATTTCTTTGGTGTTAGGAAATGTGTCTATTCTATTTTCTGCACCAATGAAAAAACTCTTCTGTAAGAAAAATAACCCCCCTTTCCCAACAGAAAAACACATTAAAACATACAAAATGAACCATTAAAAAAACCCCATGTTTTCTCAACCTTCTAAAAACCAACAGCTGTCCAGCAGCCTGCTAATGCCAGAGAAGTCTAAAGAGAGCAAGCCACTAATTTTATAACCAGCAAAATCATAAAACTGTTGAGACAAAGCTACACTTTACAACAATTATTTCACATCCAGCTCTGCTTTCTTCCATCTTTGTGCATAAATAGGAAACAATCCTAGAGATATATATTGCCTGTAAAACCACCCCCCCAAAAAACAGCAATAGGCAAATAATGACTACAATGAATTAAAATTACATCTTTTTAGCCTCATATGTTTGAAAGTCAGTCATCAACTGCAGGCTCTCTTTTGCTAAAAAAATTCAGAGGTAGCCTGTTTGTTTCAAAAATATACTCCACACACTGTCAGAGCAGACACCGTAACCACTAAATGACTCAGAGTTTAAAGGGTTAGAGTGGGAGAAGGGAGGGAAGAGCTTTGAATGTGTCATTTAGCAAGAAGCAATGAGAAATAAGGATAAGTTATTTAACCGGCCTTGCAATCCACTGAACAATTAATTCAGTTACATTAGGCATAGTTCACCAGATGGTGTATTTTGTCTTGCATTTATTCATAATTTGACCCTTGGGCTGGAATGGCTTGCTTAAAATTAAATTATGTGAATCCACTGCTGATCTACATCAGCCTGTTGTGTCTCCACATTATTAATTTTTGGAAATTTCCCCTGTAGTTTTTAGATGCAGTCTTTGGTGCACGTGACATGCTGACCTACAGCATTCTGCAAGGAAGGATTTTCTCCCAATTGAAGGAACACAGAAGTGTGCACCAACCAGAACCAGATGGAGCAGTGACACAAACCCTGTATGGTTGTAGAATTTGAAATAACTCATCAAGATTATCAGAGTTGATCTGATTAACCCTTCTGCTCACTTCTTTGCAAAAGGGAAATAACAAGCAGCATACGTGGCACTTACATCCCTTGCCTGGTTATCAGTTCATTGTCACTCAGTAAGTAACTTCAGGGAAGCAAAGCAAATGCCTTTTTCCTGAAGACTTGTTGATACTTAAACACAATCATCCAGAAGGAAGAAACAGCCAGCACAGGATTCTCCTTTGCTCTGCTGTCCCTAAGCAGCTCCATGTGATGAGACTAGCAGCCCACAAGTCCCCCCACCTCCTTCCAGCCCTTGTCATTAAACCCAGCAAGAACCAGACTGTGCTGTGCCTCACCTCC